TAGAATCTTACAAGAACTGACTTCCGGGATTAGTGCATCACTTACTGATCGCTAGCCAGGCAGCGCTCGGCTAACGGTCTTAGCGGCTGCTTGCCCAGGACTTCGGCAAACGTGCCTCACATTTACTAGGCGGGGCACTGTCTCAGAGACGCATCACGGAGATTTGCCACAGTGAAGCGCTAACTTTGGTCCAAATAACGACGCGGCAAGGCTTCGCTCAAGAGACCGTTGGCCAATGGCTCCCGACGAAGCATGTTCTCCACTACGGCGGCAATGGGTCCTCGATGTTGCAGCAAATATTCCACATACCGAATATATGGTCAGCAACGGGTCTAAGTCCGCACCGCTGCACCAAAAATGAAGCTGAGGCTGCAACGCTTCAACGTGATGCTGGTAAGCTGCAACAAAATTGTTCTACCGAAGATGACCTCCATGTTGCGAGGGATTACCTCGGCGGGCGCACGCTCCTACAAATATCTCTTACTGTGGAAGCATTCCGTATACTCGCGCGCTCAACGTTTCAGCCGGAAAGCGTCAACAGGTAGAAGATGGCAAAGGCGCGTTCTAAGCTGAGAGCCGAAAGCTTCCATGTAAGGTAGTTCTACCTGGAATCAAAAACTGGTCGTAGAGTTGCTACGGAGCTGGCTCTTGGCAGGTTCCGGTCAGAGAAGGCAGAAGCCGCGCCAGAGTGAAACATCCTGTTGTTCAACATGGTCTGCTGCTATCCAACAGGCAACGTCAAGCGCGTCATCGTCAACAGCTCGCTATGCACGAACACCTTTTTCTTTGGATAGTTTGGGGCTCTGTTTTGAAAATTTGCACCGACAGGGTCTACAAACCTGTCTATAGCTGCCATACACCCTGAATTGGCTCTCTTTGGACCCGGTTCCTGTCCTGCCCTGGGCACATATTTACGTCGCGTTCTCTCTCTAACTCTCTCGTCCTCCACCCTCGCTTCCTTCGCGTGACATACGAAGTGGCCGAGGACAGCTCCGTGAATCTCTACTGCGCCAGCGCTATGCCCTCTACAAACTCAAGACTACGCCACATATGGTCGCTTAATGACGGACCTCACTCCAAGCAATCAGTCGAGGACCTCCATGGAGGCGGTACTACAGTGACTCGTCGCATCGCGCACGCTGCCACCTTCACAGATGGTGTTCCTGGTCCGGGCGGTGCAGAATTGGAAGGAGGTGTAGCAGCCTAGCCCTTCTATCTGCTATTGATAGGTTCGACTGCGCGAGCTTGCCCTTACCGAATCCTTTGCCCTTCCCTTTGCCTTTGCCCTTATCCTCACCTTTACCCTTTTGGTAAGTGGTGAAAAGGGCTGTTTTGGCTGCATAGGCTAGCTGTGTGGCTTCAGCACACAGGCCTACCTACGTGCGCTTGCACTGAGCGCATGCCTTCCAAACCCTACACCTGAACCCTCGACATCACGGTCTCGCGTCAGCAACGATGCAATGAGCTGGCTGTCGTCAGATTCTTTCTCATGACTCTGCGTTCTGAGCTCACGTACACGCAGCTCCCGCGAGCATGCCTTCCAAACCCTAAACCTGAAGCCTGACATCATGGTCTTGTTTCAGCAATGATGCAATAATCTGGCGGTTGCCCGGTCGGATGCCTTCCAAACCCTAAACCGAAACCCTGGACATCACGGTCTTGCATCAGCAATAATCTGGCAGTTGCCAGGTCCCGCCTACACGCAGCTCCCACGAGCGTGCCTTCCAAACCCTAAACCTAGAGCCTGGCATCACGGTCTTGCCTCAGCAATGATGCAATAATCTGGCTGCTGCCCGGTCGCATGCCTTCCAAACCCTAAACCTCAAGCCTGACATCATGGTCTTGCCTCAGCAATGATGCAATAATCTGGCTGTTGTCAGGTCGCATGTCTCTTGCGTCAGCAACGATGCAATAATCTGGCTGTCGTCAGGTCCTTTCTCATGGCTCGTTCTGAGCTCACCTACACGCAGCTCCCGCGAGACTGCCTTCCAAACCATAACCCAAAGCCTGACATCATGGTCTTGTTTCAGCAATGATGCAATAATCTGGCTGTTGCCCGGTCGGATGCCTTACAAACCCTACTCCAAACCCTAAACCTAAAGCCTGACATCATGGTCTTGTTTCAGCAAGGATGCAATAATCTGGCTGTTGCCCGGTCGGATGCCTTACAGACCCTAAACCGAGACTCTAGACATCGCGGTCTGGCATGGTCTTGTTTCAGCAATGATGCAATAATCTGGCTGTTGCCCGGTCGTATGCCTTACAAACCCTACTCCAAACCCTAAACCTAAAGCCTGACATCATGGTCTTGTTTCAGCAATCATGCAAGAATCTGGCTGTTGCCCGGTCGGATGCCTTACAAACCCTACTCCAAACCCTAAACCTAAAGCCTGACATCATGGTTTTGTTTCAGCAATCATGCAATAATCTGGCTGTTGCCCGGTCGGATGCCTTACAGACCCTAAACCGAACCTCTAGACATCGCGGTCTTGCGTGGTCTTGCATCAGCAGTGATGCAAAAACCAACCCTTGCAGCACAGATGCGTGGAAGTTTATGTGACTGGCAAGAAAATGAGGTGTTATATGATTCCCCCAGCATGAAAGCTGCAGCGAATGCTGCAACTGCAAATGCCAAACCCTAAACCGAAACCCTAGAAATCAGGGTCTTGCATCAGCAATAATCTGGCTGTTGCCAGGTCCCACCTACACGCAGCTCCCACGGGCGTGTCTTCCAAACCCTAAACCTAGAGCCTGACATCACGGTCTTGCCTCAGCAACGATGCAATAATCTGGTTGCTGCCCGGTCGCATGCCTTCCAAACCCTAAACCTCAAGCCTGACATCATGGTCTTGCCTCAGCAATGATGCAATAATCTGGCTGTTGTCAGGTCGCATGTCTCTTGCGTCAGCAACGATGCAATAATCTGGCTGTCGTCAGGTCCTTTCTCATGGCTCGTTCTGAGCTCACCTACACGCAGCTCCCGCGAGACTGCCTTCCAAACCATAGCCCAAAGCCTGACATCATGGTCTTGTTTCATAAATGATGCAATAATCTGGCTGCTGCCCAATCGGATCGCGGTCTGGCATGGTCTTGTTTCAGCAATGATGCAATGATCTGGCTGTTGCCCGGTCGGATGCCTTACAAACCCTACTCCAAACCCTAAACCTAAAGCCTGACATCATGGTCTTGTTTCAGCAATCATGCAATAATCTGGCTGTTGCCCGGTCGGATGCCTTACAGACCCTAAACCGAAACTCTAGACATCGCGGTCTTGCATGGTCTTGCATCAGCAGTGATGCAAAAACCAACCCTTGCAGCACAGATGCATGGAAGTTTATGTGACTGGCAAGAAAATGAGGTGTTATATGGTTCCCCCAGGATGAAAGCTGCAGCGAATGCTGCAAATGCAAATGCGGCTGCAATGTCTGCAGACAAACATCGCCGTGTGTCGGCGTATACTGAGAGCATCAGTTCTGGAGACAAGCACATGACTCCCTGGCTTGGACACTGTGTGTAGAAAAACGGAGAAGGAGTTACAAACTCTTTTTCCCCAGCAACATGATGAAGTCTGACACCGATCTGGCACGCATTGTCAACCAGAAGGGCCAAGTGATCTGGGTTTAGCTTGGGCTTGATGGGATGAATGATTCACACGAGCAAGCCTTCAGGGTGTGCAGGGTTTTGGGTTTAGGGTTAAGGGGTCAGGGTTTATAGGGTTTGGGGTTTAGGGTTTAGGTGGAGGTTTGTGGATCGTTATAAGCCGGTGGTTCAGGGTTTTAATATTACAGGGTTTAGGGATATAGGTAAACGTAGTAGAGAAGCCATACTTTGCCCTACCCATCAAGCCTCAGCCCTAAACCCTACCTCTGACTAGGTGAGCTTAAGGTTTAGAAAGCAACCAGAGCTGCGGTATCGGGTTTCGGGTGTAGGTTTTGCTTTGACTTAAAAACACAGAGGGGTTATAGGGGGGATGCTACTGGCAAGGAACTGTGAGTGTGAGGCAGGTTTCTTTGTGGTCGTGTCCCCAAAGGACTTTCCAAAATGTACAAGAAGCGGTTCACTCAGACACCAAATGAATATTAACCCGAAACCCTAAACTCTAAACCCTAGAACCTGAAACCCTAACCCACGAACCCATCTGGACTCTTGCAGTAACCCTAAACCCTAAACCCCAAACCCTAGCCCTGCGTCACGGATCAGCTGCGCTTCGAGCTCCAGCGGAAGAAGGTAGGCTCCGGTCGCGGCCCTGATGCAGCTACCGGGCTCTTTTAGGGTTTAGGGTTTAGGGTTTAGGGTCTGGGGTTTGTCATCGTGCCAGCTGACGTTCAGAGTCTGGGTTCAAAAAGGGTCTGGGGTTTGGGTTTAGGGTTTGGGGTGTAAAGTTTCGGGCTGT